ATTTCTCTACTGCAGTATCTGATCCGTTCTTACTATTGAAGTTATTACTTCTGCCTTTTTTGTCTTAGTGCAGTTCATACTTAAATACACTAGCTGGTGCTCTACACTAAGCCATGTAATGTTCAGGTGTAAATGCCAGTACTTGGTTTGCACAGTTTTTATTCCAGACTTTCTCGTCGAGTTTTCGTTTGGGGAAAAAAAAATAGGGTGAGGCTGAACTGCATTTTTGTATGTCTGTAGCACCCTCTACCAATTGTCAAAGCTTTCTGGCTTTGGAAAAAGGCAGCTTAGGCACGTGCACACATGTTTGTATTTAGGGGGAGGAATACTAACTTCCTTGAACCCCTTTGAGTCACTGATGTTTGCCGCAATATAAAGGAAACTCACAAAAATACGAGAAGGAAAGAGTTGAAATGGAACAAAATTTAAAATTCTAAAATTCAGTTAGAAAATATGAAAATAGCTGTTTCCCACCATATAGCAAAATAGTATGTTTTGGTATTTTTCTAATACAGCTGAAATCAAGCAGTTTGTATGTGATATGCTCTGCATACGTGCTTGCTGAAGTGCACACAGAATAAAATGTGCATATCAGGTGCTTGGTGTCTCATGCTGATTTTGGGTGGGTGGAGGAAAAGAGAAGTGGGAACATTGCTCTCAGATGCTGAAGGAGAGAATCCTGCAATAACACAGCATGAACAAAACATCTCCAGAGAAGGCAGTTTTTGAATGCAGAGCAATGACTTTCTTGGCCAACTAGACTCCTGCTGATAACTCTAAGATAAAATTCCTTAATTATTTCTATTTTAATAAAGCGGCAATAAAAACGTAACCACTCCAAAACATAAAGCAGAATGCAGTATTTGAGAGTAATCTACTACAAATCAACAGGATGAAATATTTTGGTATCATTTCACCTTATATTGTTTTCTACCTCCCTGTGCTTAGCAATAGCATGAAAAGAACAGATGTTTGGAAGTCTAGCTGGTTTTCTGTTAAACTTATTATTGGCAAAAATACAGTTCAAATTCCAGTCATATGTACACAGACTTACTAAATGATATTTTCCATCTCTCTTCCCATTGCATCTAGTATTTTGCCTCCCTCACTTACCCCAGGTTTCTTACCTACCTCAGGAAGCTTTCTCTAAAGGTGCTACTTGTAGGACTTTGCATGACCGTGGCTTCATTTACACGGATAACCAAAAATTTTGTGAGCATAGGGGAAGAAAGATCTTGTGTTGACCTTAACTTTACACCTCAGTGATTTCACTGTAAATCTATAGGAAAGACCTAACAGTTTCCTGAGCTCAGGGAGCAGAATTCTGTCCTGCCACTTATCCAGACGGAGCTGAGGACCAGAGCGAGCTCCCTTGGGAAAACTCTTGCATTTTAGAGGGACAAATGTGATTTTGAATTCAAAGGGATGTTTTGCAGCAGTCATTTCAGAAATTAAAGCCTTAAAAAAAAAAAAAAAAAAAAAAGATAGATTGACCTAGGTATTTCTGCGAGGCAAGATGCTCTATCATAAAGACATTGTCTATTCTGAGAGGAAGCTGTCAAGTCTAACTAGGGACCATGTTGTTAATTTCGATGAGGTATACCTCAGGATGATGAAGAGGAGACAACAGCTCCTTTCTCAGAAGGTTTATGGATTGATGTAAACTTGGTTTGTCTGACTTTGCTACTAGATCTCTAGACTGTCTAGAAAGATCTTTGCAGGGGCATAACTATAAAAGGGTTTCATAGTGAATGTCATCAGATCTAGTTGCTAATTGCACATCCAAATTTGGCATGTGTGAATTCTAGCAATTCTAAGGGCTTGCTAGAAGCTATCGGCTTAGTAGGGTATAATGCTTTATACATATAATTTGTGGAATGCTCTAAAAATTTAAGATTGCTGTAACTTCCAAGAAAAAGCTTTGCATAACAAAGCCAATATTTCTCCATTTAAGATATTAGTTTTGCCTCTGCTTTATGCATGGAAAAATGGGAGCTTGTGCTAGCCTGCCAGTCAGATCTGTGAGTAGTACCTGGAAATCATGGGTGCTACTGTGAATTTTGAACCTCCAACCTTTTTTGCACAGATACATTTGAAAGATCACAGATAGGAAAGGAAATGTTACTAAAATTTTGAATTGCTAATTTCTCAGCAAACTTAAGCTTTGTTTTCTTAGGAGTATGTATTTCTGAATTTGTACCTAGACGTCTGCCTTTCTGCATTGTTAAAATAAAACTTCATCCTTCACAGTCAGTGTTAGAAGTGAGATTGGCTAAAATTGACTGAGATACAGCTTCACTGTCTTGGTTGTAACATAACCAAGTAAAACAGGATGTGTGAGCATCTTGGGAACTGTACATTTCAAAACACAGTTAGGGACCAACACTAGAGAAATTGTTGCCAGCATCCCCACGTTATCCTGAACTTTTTTTTCCCCCAAAAAGCAGAAAATAGAACCACATAGGCAACTTCCAGCCAGGCATAACTTATTATAATCACTCCTTGGGAGATAGTACCTGGCAATATTGCTCTGACTCTCCTGAAAGGCTAGTACTACCCTGAAACTACTCAGAATAAGGATGTTAAAAACAACTTTGTGAAAGCCAGCCGTTCCCCTCAAATCCCAGGTGCAGCAAGCCCTGCTCTGTCTTTGATCTTTATCTCTGTTTTGTAGTATTTTCTCCAATGTACCTCAGGGCTATGATCACTGAACGTTCTAAGGAGGAAATCAATGGACATAGATTTACAATTCTTCAATATAAGTTTTTTAGAACTGAATTACGTTCAGTGAACTTTATCCTCTGCAGGGAGTCAACAAAAAGCAAATTCAACCTATTAGTGTGCCCCCACAGTTCCCGCTGAGGTCAGGGAGAGTCTGGGAATAGAATAAAGTGCCTGGAAACCATGGATCTACTGATAATACTATAACAAAAATCAGAAGTATAAAATGTAGGTCCAAAATGAAATGAGAGTCTATGGGATACCACATGGGAACTGCAATAACCAGTGTAAACCTAACAAAGTTTCCCCAGGGGTTAATTTGTCCATCTATTTTTGCATTCATAAAGGGAAGAAGAAAAATAAGAGAATTGAAAAAGTTAAAGCAGATGAAGACATTATCAAAAAGACTAATTGCCTGTGCTGTATTTGCAGCACAGGGGAACAGCACGCGGGAAGGACTGAGGAGCTGCACTCAATACTTTTGTCAATTCCCTTGTCTGCTTTTAACAGTGTGAAGCCCTGATTTGATTGTGCAGGTGGTGAAAATTACGGCTAGACGGATGCAGGGACAAATCCCCAGCACGGTGCATGGCAACCCCTGAGGCAGGTACACACTTGTGAAGCCTGGGGGGCTTCTGCTTGCGCTGGAGCCTGCTGAGCCCTCAGAGAGCCCCTTCTGCACCTTCCCGCTCGAGTGGGGATGGCAGAAACAGCAACTGGAAAGCAGCACACATCCCTGAGTTTGGGGCATTCCCTGGCCCTCCCAAAATATGATAATGTAACTAGCATTTCAGCTAAGCTAAAAAATGAATAAACCTAAATAATATGAATTACGTAATTTTCATTAAAGGGAAAAAAACAGAAGTAAACAGAAGGTGGTAATGATAACTAACTCTTAAAGTGTGATTATACCAATTATCACTTGCATCTCTTTTGGATGCAATTGTTAGATGGCACATGAGTTCTTTACTCATTCTGCAGTTACCTAAGCTAAATCCTGCTGGACCAAATCATGGACTAACTTCATCGTAGTTAATCTATTGATGTATATTTGGGAGCTTCTGGTTGTGAGTTGGTGCTGCTGGTTGTGATCTTAGCTGGCCTACACTGCAGCATGCTAATAGAGTTACAATTTCTTGTCTATTATAGTAATATAGTCCTTTTTAACAAATATGTTTCACTAATATGAGATAGAACAGATAGAAAAAGCATGTTTCAAGTTGGCCCGTATCTCATTCAGTCTCCTCAGCTCCACCACCACTAGTCAACATAGAAATCCTTCTTGTTTGGATCCACACTCTTTTTGATTTTTTAGGGGATCTATTGGGATTTTACATTCACCACATGCTTTAACCACCGAGTTTAGAAAGTTATCTCCCAAATTCTTAGACTGGCAAAAAGCTGAGGCTCAGTTGTATAAGTGAAATCTTTTCTGAGATAACTAACCTGTTCTTAGAAATATGAGAGTAAAAATCCTTATTCCTTGACACTGAAACCATGTGGGGAAGAATATAATTCTAGCTATGTTCTTTTTTTTTTCTTCTATTCTCTTAATGCTTGAAAGCTATTATGAAAGAGCTAGAAATGTACTCTTTTCTTAATGACATATTAGTATATCTTCAAATAAGGCATGTGGAGGAAGAGAAATATTTGTCAAGTCTTCTATAAATAAAGGCTGTCTTTGACTAAAATCTTTCACAGTATGGCAATTTGTGCTAATTACTCTGAGGGTTAAGGGTATCAGTTTCTTAGCAGGAAAAGACTTCAACATGTTTTCATGCTATAATAAATACAGGGGTTAAGCCTTTAGAAACTGCAAAAAGCTACACCTCAGGTATAGATAAGTCAGCAAACATATATGTAAAGAACATAAATGCCTATAAACAGAATTGCCAGGATGAATAAATACGCAAATAATACCCACAGAAGTAAATACTTGGTTGTTTTTATAAGAAAACTGTGTGGCTAGTGAGTGACTGTGTGACAGAGGCAAAAAATATTTCCATTGCATTGATACAGGCAATGGTATCAAATGCAAGCTACTCTCTAGATGCTTTGGAATTAAGAAAAAAGAAAGCACTGTATAGTGAGCCCAATCTGTTGCTTTGTTTATGAGTATGTAAGGATTATGTTTTATTTAGCCTTTCAGAAACATGACAAAGACCTTAAGGTTTGCTTTTCTTCTTCTAAGGGGGCTTCCATCTTAAATTTGCAGGGATCAAAACCCTTCAGAACTGTTGAACTAACTTTGTTTTTTTGTACTTTTTGCTATATTTCAGAGCAGATAACAATAGCCTTCACAGTGTCCATGGTGGTTGGCCTGGCGATTGGAGGGATCATCTGGGCTTTGCTTACTTGCTTGTCCCGTCGCCGGGCTAGTGCCCACATATCCCAGGGGAACTCGTCCTCCTACAGCCGCCGGTCCAGACCGCCCTCCCACGGCCACACTGGCAGCAGGACTGGATTTTATCGCAACAGCAGCTGTGAGCGTCGGAGCAACCTCAGCTTGGCCAGCCTCACCTTCCAGCGACAAGCATCCCTGGAGCAAGCCAACTCCTTCCCCCGCAAGTCAAGCTTCCGTGCATCCACCTTCCACCCCTTCCTCCAAAGTCCTCCCCTGCCAGTGGAAACGAACAGCCAGCTGATCACCCTGACCCCCACAAGTACCACCACAACCCTCGTGGGAAGCACCACCAACAGCTTAAGTCGGCCCGAGTTCCACTGGTCCAACAACAGCCTCCGTATCTGCCACTCTACTCAGACCCCTCCTCCTGCCTATGAAACCATCATAAAAGCATTCCCAGACTCATGAAATAGCTTCTTGATATGGACACACTCTTGAGTTTTAAGAGAAACCTCAATCATCTGTAACATTTTCTGTTTGTGCTGAGGATCTCTGAGAAGTCTCCTGAGTGGTGGTGACACATTGCAGAGGGGACGCACATTGCTAAGGAGTGGCTAACACTGATTTTTAGAGCACAGTATTCCACTGGCCAAGGAATCACGTCTTCCATGCCACCAGCTGCAATATACTGATCTGCGACAAACATGTATTTATACTACTGTATCTTTAATCATAACCTTTGTATCTTTTAGTTTAGAGCAAAGAAAATGCTGCCACATGAGAAACTGATCATTTCCTGAAGACACAGATCATGTTAGGAATTACTGATACATGCATTTCTGCAAATTTCACTATTTGTTTCTTTTCTTTAATGAAAGAAGTTGTGATTTTATATATTTCTCCCAAGATTGTTAGATTCTCAGTGAATACATACCTTTATCCTCATTCTTCCTACAGTCACAGAACAACAACTTCTATCTGATTTAATGTCACAGACCTGTTAATGGTCATAGGCATCTTGTTTTGCTGATTATTCAGGATCTTAAAATATGTCAGGCTTGTTTGTATGACATTTCCTACAGTATGGGAAATATGTTGAAGAGGAAAACATGCAAAATGCATGGTCACAATTATAAAGATTTTTTAGTCTGCAACCAGCAGAAGAGTTAGTCCCATTTTAATGCCTAATAAGGCTGTATGAAAGCAGAACTCCTGATGTTTCATTTTTTTCTAGTTCTGGTGATGAAGATAAGCTGCATGAATGACAACCATTTTTAATTGTTTCCTGTTTTGCTATGGATTTACTCATTCCCTTACTTCAAACTGTATTTCTTCAAATTGTTCCTATGTTTAATGCTTCCGGGCAAATTATTCACTGACATCCTGTGTTTCACTAACTCTAAATTTCAGACAGCTATGACTGAATACTGGTGTTGTACAGTTACTTGGAATATGAAGAAAAAGATGTAGTATTCAGCTGAAGCTAAAATATCTCCTTGACTATTCTACATGCACATTATGTCAAGCTAAGCCTCGGTTTAGTGAAGACTAATTACACAGATATGAGAAATTAAGGATTTGGAAACAGTGCAGACAAACTAGGTATGACATAAGTCCTGTTGGATTTTTTATTATTATTAATAAATATTTTGTGTTCCAAGGAAGGGGAAAGAATTCCACAGGCAGAGGAACAGTCCTATTCTTCATTTACAAAGAAGCCTTTCATCCTTAAAAGGTCTGGAAATGACTATAACTGCAGTGCTCCTAATTCTGGGCAGGCTGCTCTTGTGCCTTTTTTCAGAAGCTGAGTCCTCACCTGTACTCAGGTAGGGATAAACCATTCAGCAGCTTCCAAAAGAGGAAAAAATGCTTAAGATCTTACCTTCCAGGCTTTCAGTGTCTGGACAGCGCGCTTCCTTTTGCAGCGTTCAGCACTCCTCATGTAGCACTAGCACTGACCAAGAGTCTTAACTATAGTCTTCCAGCCTGATAGCTTTTCCTTTGCAAGTATTACTGCAAACATTCAGCTACAAGCATTACTTATTGTAAACTGCAAGTATTCCTTATCGTAAAGGCAAACAATTTTGCATTTATCTACTGACAGGCTTTTGCTATTTTATTTTTAGTGTTTTCCCTTTTAGAAAGATATATGTCATTGCTAGAAGAACAACCATTCAACCATTTACAGAGTTTACAGAGCATTTCACTGCTCACACTATGGGTCCTATTATAATAAGGACTTGCTGGTAAGAGTGTGAAACTGCCTTTTGATGTAGTAGGCTACAGACACAGTTGCCTTCTGGAGAAATAAAGTTGTATTTTTGCATTTATTAATAATATTTTTTTCATTTAGATTTTTATTTAGTTTGGTAAAAATCATTGCATTCATGAATACATTCACAGTGTCCTCGCTCTGGAACACTCTACACCATTTATTCTAAAATACCTACAAAAGGACAATACAAGTCTGTTCACTTGTTTTTCTGAATTTGGTGGGCTGTCTGAAGAGACAAATTGGCCAATTATATGTACCAAGTTGTCCAACAGTGTTAATTTCTGGAGAAGGAAATCATTTTAGAGGAATAAATTTTTACTCCCAGTTTTTAAATGAACATTATATTTCAGAACGACTTTCCACAACACGTTATTACTAGTATTATACTATATTTAGTAAGCAATGTAGAAAGGAAAGCTTAAATGTACTGTATTTTTTTACTCATGAAATGTGCACTGGATATTAAAAAAAAATATGTCTCCAGGATGAGGGAGATTAAAAGCACAGTTTTTTTGGTGTGTAACTAGTATGACTGTCAGATCTCTAATTAACAATTTAAACAGTGAATGCAATTAATATTATGCAAGCACTCTGGAAGCTTCAGAATGTGAAATAAAGTTAGATGTTATAATCTCTATCTCATGTTTTTCCTTAAAGACAAATTCATTGACTTCTATCAGAGACATTTTAAAGGGAAAGATTTTCTTTAACTATGCAAGCTGATACAGTTGGAAAGAAATTGGCCCTTCCACTCCTGCTGTGGAGTGGCACCAAAAGTCAAAAATGTTATACGAATTCAGCTTCAAATTTTGCTATAGAATAATACCATTCAGGAATTAGAAGTAGAAACTGAAACTATTAGTATTAGGATACGCTTCGCTTTCTTATAGTAAAAGGAAGTAACTATTCTTATACTAAGATGATCAAGTGATGTTGTAGATATTCTACCACTCAAAGTGGTACAAACTCTACCACTATATAAGTTTCACAAAAAATATATTCTCAGATTTCAAATCCACTTGTTTCCAAGTTCTTTGACTTCAATCCACAAAGTATTTGAGCAAATACTTACTTTAAGCACATGGACGCTCATTATGTAGTTCATCCTTAAATACGTGCATGCACATTTTATTGTATTAGGACAAAAACGCATTGCACTGATTAAACTCCAAATTCGACCATGAGCTTCAAGAATCACCGTGTGTATGATATGCACAAGATTCTGCTAGCTCATTATAATGATCTTCTCCAGCCTTTTATTTCAATTTAAAATACCAGAAAGAACTAGGTAATTAAAATTCATTTCTGCAAAAAGATTCAAAGCAACCACAGGCAATGAATTAAGCCTCCTAATAATTTTGTATATAATGTATTTTTACAGTAAGAGGCAGTGAGAATTAAGATTAAAGAGTGCTCTCAGATTCACACCTGATATTATTGGTAGAGCTTTAATCAATCTCCAGATATCCTAACACCTCATCATGAGGTAAACAGAATTCCTTCTTATTTCATGAAGAGAAAAATTATTCTGTTATTGTCCATGTCCACAAAAACTATTGGTACAGTTCTAATTTCATACAGAAGCTGTAACACAACTGCTATCTGTATGAGATTAGTTATGTTCCACAGGATTTACAAAAGTAACTTCTGCTATATTCCCTGACCTTTCTTCACAGAATTTCTGATCACCACTTCAGACAGCTACTAATTATAATACTATAACACTCTGAACATGCAATATCCTTGCCAAATCAGATTTTTAAAGTTCACTTGCAATTTACCATGAAGTTTTTTGAGTCATATCAACATCCACTCTAAAGAATAAACTGCAAACTACATTTACTGGAAATATCCTCTCAGAGATGATGTGAGACATGCCAGAACCCTGACCTATAGGCACTTTATAAAATTAGGTGATGCCTATGATGCAGTACAGCTTCTGTAAAAAAACAAAAAAGAAAGAAAGAAAACAGTAATTGGAAATTTACCTCTGCCATGTCCAAAGCAGATTAAGGAAAACAGCGATGATAAAACTTCATGGAACAGAAGAGAGCAAATCTAGAAATCAGCTTTACCAGACAGTTTAAAAACTCAGGTAAAATTCCTGTATCTTTGTTTGGGCCTCTTAAAAAAATTCAAAGGAGCTGAATGCTTGGAATTTCTTTGTGGGGAATTATTCATTTACCTTTTTAAACACTGACAAGGATGACAGGATCCTAATCACTTTTTCAGAGGAAATATCAACATTGATTATAATTTCCATGGTATTTTTCTTTTATCTGGGCTAGTGAGCTTTCAGCAGGCAAGAGGTGCTGCCACAGGCCCTTCTTGAAGCTCTGCAGACAAGAAAGGGAAGACTTTTCCAGCTGGATTTTCTGCCCTCTACTCTAGCAGCACCAGCCACATGGTGCTGCTGCCATGGAGGACCCCTGGCCCCAGTATGCTCAGTTGGCTATGCCTGGAGAAACAGCCAGTTCTGGAAGAATAACTTCCACCCCACAACAAATTACAGCCCAAAGAAGCAATTTGACAGAGAAGTCTGGCTGGCAGGTTTCATATTGCCTTTTAGTTTTTATGGAAATTTTTGGTTCCCATTTGATTTCTGGCAATGTTACTCCATGACGGTGGACAGCATCCGAAGGGCATGGAGTAGATAGTGGAGATATTTCTGTAAACATGTTGTTTGTCTGCCGTTCCAGTGACATCACACAACAGGCACGTGTTTTTATTTATTTAGCTGCAGAACCAAGTGATTTTCTTCTGAAGGATGTTAAAGTGCAGTTGCACTATTTTAGAGCAAAGAGGTTTTTTTAAACAAAAGTAGATTAATCATGAAAAAGATTGTACAGACTGATGGGCCTCAGATAGCTGGAAATTTGATTTGATGATTTAGGGCATAACTGTCTGACGTTTCTATGTCTATGGACAGCACAGAAGGCACTAGGATAGGAAATTATCTATATCTAGACCAGGACAGGCCTGCAACAATTGTGATCCACTTTATTTTATGGGAGCGCTTTGATGACTACACATGTGAGGCAATGGCACCATCCTGTTCCTACCTGACATGTGTGCAATTCAGAGCTGGCAGTAATTTACATCCTTTTGAACATGAATGAAGAACAGGCCAATGGTTAGGTGTGCATTGAAACAGGACTAATCCTCAGCCTCTAGACTGACCTGTCTAGGATTTGAGTAGAAGCACACTGGAGAGGCACAGAGGAGGCACATTCTCTGCCCATGCTCTGTTCCTATTCTGTACATTCTAGTGATCTTTTAAAGCTATTTTTGGAAGGAAGGAAGAATCCCTTTTAGACATTTTCTAGAGGGAGTATAAAATTTTATGATTCTCATTTAGTGCTTCTCTACTTAGTTCAGCACTAAGCTCCAGCTCTCCTTCTCTGTGAAGGATAAAAATACACAGGTTTTCACTCTTTCCTGTTCTTTTGTTGTTCAGCCAAGTAACAGAAAAGATGAGTTTGTTATCCAGAGAATCAGCTAGAGAAATTGATTGGGTTGCATGTGATAAGCCCTCCAGCATGAGTTTGCCAGCATCAAAGCACTGTTTTTTTTTTTTTTCTGTTTTCCCTGGGGCAATCGTTCTGAAAAGTTACACACATCTTTTTGTCACTACTTAATGACAGCAAAAGTCTTACAAATTAGTAATATACTAATTCATGACATAGATATTTTTGAACATTCTGGGTAACATAAGACTGAATCTTAAACTCCTGCACACTCAAAATACATTTTAAATGCTTATATACCCACTAAATATAATGCTTCAAAATGACTAAATGCTCCTAGGCATTGAATCACTTTTGAAAATGAAGTTGAACATCAAATATGTTCCTATTCCATTTAACCATTTCTGTAATGTACTAGAAGAGAGAGCTAAGGGGATGATCTTATCAATGTGTATAAGTATCTGAAGGAAAGGTGTCAAGAGTTTGGGGCTAGAGGATTTTCAGTGGTGCCCAGCAGTAGGACGACAGGCTACAGACACGAAGTGAAACACAAGAAGATCCATCTGAACGTGAGAAAACAAATATTTACTGAGAGAGTGACAGAGCACTGGAACAGGTTGCCCAGGGAGGTTGTGGATTTTCCTCCCCTGTAGATACTCAAAAGCCGTCTCTAGCGGTTCCCTTCTGATCTCTCTGTAGGTCTTTGATTCTATGATTCTGTGATTAATAAAACTATTCTATTGAGAACTAAAAGTGTAACATGAAAAAGCATCATATACAATGCTTATACTGAGCAATCTTAGGAAACTTTGTCATTTAGTGAAAATATTGACATTATATTTTATTGTCTGCCCAAGATTTTACAAACATCTTATG